CACCCTCTGGTGATGCGAGGCGGATTCCGACGCCAGAACCTTGTTTTGAGGATGAGCCGTCGACGTGGAGGATCCAAACAGCGTTGGGTGACTCTTCTCGGACGTTCTCCGTTGGCAGCTCGATGATAAAATCGGCCAGGACTTGAGATTTTGCGCATGTTTTGTTTCTGTATTCTACTGCCCACTTGGCTAAGCGTCCCGATTGGCTTGGACTATGCAAGATGGTTCGGAGCGATACGGGCGCCATGACGATAATCGAGTGAGACTGGAAATATGGCCGTAGCTTCCGAGCTGCCATTACTACGGCGAGGGCGAGCTTTTCAGTTTGCGGGTAGCGTGTTTCCGCGTCGGAGAAAGTTTGCGAGACGTAAAAAATCGGCTTCTGCTCCCCTCTGTCTTCCCTGACTATGACTCCGCTTATAGCCGTGTCAGAGACTGCGATGTATAGGAATAACGGCTCGCCCGGGACTGGTTTCGCTAACACCGGTGGATTAGCCAAATACTTCTTCAGTTCCTGGAAAGCTTCTTCGCAGCGGTTGGTCCATTCGAATTTCTTGTTCCCGCGCAGAGTATCGTAGAAAGCTAGGCATTTGTCAGTGGATCGCGAGATGAATCGGTTCAAGGCTGCGACTCTCCCGGTGAGACGTTGGACTTCGCGCTTGTTCTGCGGTGAGGGCATGTTTAGTAGAGCATCGATCTGCTTCGGGTTTGCCTCGATGCCTCGGTGAGTTACGAGATATTCCAAAAATTCTCCAGACTTTACCGCGAAGTCTGACGGAAACAGTCGCCTCGATGCCTCGGTGAGTTACGAGATGCTTCATGTTGTGCTTGTTGAGCTGACGGAAACAGTCGCGTAGATGGGCTATGTGATCGCTTTCTTCAAGGGATTTGACTAACATGTCGTCGATATAAACTTCCATCGTCTTCCCGAGCTGTTCGGAGAACATCCTGTTGACGAGCCGCTGATACGTCGCGCCGGCGTTCTTGAGTCCGAAGGGCATGACTTTGTAACAATAGATACCTCGGTCTGTGATGAATGCTGTCTTCTCGCGATCGTCGGGATGCATGAGAATCTGATTGTATCCTGCAAAAGCATCCATGAATGATAGCAACTTATTTCCCGCGGTAGCCTCTACTAAACGATCGATATGTGGGAGCGGAAAACTGTCTTTAGGGCAAGCTTTGTTTAGATCGGTGAAATCAACGCAAACTCTCCACTTGCCGTTCTTCTTTTTAACCACGACAGGATTCGCTAACCAGTCCGGATATCTTGCTTTAGAGATCGAGCCGATCTTTAGGAGCTTTTCTACTTCAGCGTTCACTGCATCTGCGCGATCCCGACCCAATTTTCTTCGCTTCTGCTTGATGGGCTTGAAAGACGGGTTAACATTCAGCTCGTGGCAGATTACGTCGATGCTTACCCCAGGTAGATCCTCAGCCGACCAGGCGAAGGTGCCGATGTTCTCCTTGAGGAAAGAGATGAGCTCGGTCTTGAGCTCTTTGGTTAAGTCGCTGCCAATTTCCACACATCGTTCAGGCCGTTCGTCGTCGAGGCTAATGGAGATTGCGAGATCCGAGGTAGGCTTCTTCTCCTCGCGCGCCTCCTCGATCTGTAATTGCTATAACTGTTTAGATATAGCCTTCTCTTCACTCCGGCCAAGTTTCGATTTCTTGTGATCCGTTTCAGCCTTTATTTCAGTGACAAGGTTTCGTAGTTTGTGTGCTGCCATGAAACACATCCGAGAATTTTTCTGACTGCCCCAAATCGTTTTCACGCCGTTAGGGGTCGGGAACTTGACACACATATGATAGGTTGATGCGACAGCTCGCATTAGATTTAACCACGGGGTTCCCATTATGGCGTTGTAGATTGTAGGTCGATCGGTGACTAAGCAGTTGACTATCTTTGTTACCCCGCCGGCTCGGACTGGTAGTTGGATGGTCCCAAGCGTCATCAAAGTTTCCCCCGAAAATCCGAGGACAGGTCTCGGAGTCGGAATCACCTGTGACATGTCGATGTTCATTCGTTGGAGCGTTTCGCGAAAGATCACGTCAATGGTGCTGCCGGTGTCAATTAATACTCGGTAAATATCGTGGTCTCCTATTGCTAACGTGACGACGATTGGATCGTTATGCGGCATGTCGAGCCCATTTGTCTCGCTTTCTTCGAACGTGATCACGTCGTTAGGTCGATCGAAGCGTCTCGTCCAGTTGCTTGGCGTCTCGGCTCGGCGCTGATAAGCTTTGATTGCCGCTACGGTGTCGGAACAGTATGGTGATCCACCCATTATGGTAAGAACCTTCTGTCGCGTACCATCTCGGTCTTCGTCTTCCGTCCCTCGGGTTCTTTTCTGTGATTCCTGGTTCCTTGGTTCGGGATCTCTTCCCGGGTTAGTCTGCTCGGGCTCTGGTTCTGGCTCGAGGTCCTTAAGAGTAACGTTTGTTCCGAGTTCTCCAGCTAGGAATTTGGTCGCTAACTTGGCTCCGAGGCTTCGACATCTCGAGGTATGATGGCCAAAAATTTTGTGGTGTTCGCAATATTCTTGATCATTGCTTGGTGGTTGATCCCTTGTCCAGGTGAAGGACTCTCTTCCTCGCCCACGGCCTCGGCCTCTACCGCGGCCACGGCCTCGGGGCGTGTCAATCTGGTAGCTATGGTATCCCGAGAAATTGCGCCCTTCGTGGTGCGTATACGTACTGCTTTCACGTGCCTTTTTCTGGACCGGAGGCGTCACTTGGGCTTTCTCGGTTTTCTCGGCTCGGGGCGCCTGTTTTGTTGGTTCGTGCCTCTTTGCTAGTAGTGCCATTTCTTCTTCGTGGGCGACGAAATCCGAGGCTCGATGCAGCGCATCGCGAATTGTCGTTGGTTTAGACAGATTCAACTCTTTCCTGAATTCTGACTTGTACCAGAGAGCTTTCTTCAAAGCCGAGAGAGCTGCTACATCTGTAATTCCTTCGACTTTGGCTAGCGTCGATTTGAAGGTCTTGAGGAAGTCCCTTAGCGGCTCGGTGGGCTGTTGAGACAAGGACCATAGATCCGCGTCGGAAGTTCCGGGGTCGATGAGCACGGAGTATTGTTTGAGGAACAATGTCGACAGCTCGTCGAAACTATCAATCGAGTTTCGTTCCAATCTCGAAAACCACTCTAATGCGGGTCCTTTGAGATGTTCCACGAACAGTAAGCACAGACCCGCATCCTTTTCTCCGGGCTTGAACCTGGCTCGAGCCACAGATATCACGAACGATTTAATGTGGCACTTCGGGTCAGTTGATCCGTTGTAGGAGTCGATTCTGAACTTTCCCAGGTTGGACATCGTCGTCTCAGAAATTCTTTTGGTGAAAGGCGTATTCCGAGATTCTTCCAAAATTCGGTCGATGTTCGGCGCGGAGGATGAGACGCTATGTATCTAGGTTTTGACGAGCTTCATATCGGCTTCCGCCTTGGCTAGGGAGGCTCGGATCTTGCTTAGCTCGTCTTCTCTTTTGGATTCTTCGGCCCACCTTATGTTTTCCTCAGTTTCTTCATCATCAGTGAGATCTGTTCGCTCGGCGGAGTTAGCTCTGGCTCGGGTACGTTCATCTTGCAGATCATCTGGCTCGTCCGTCAAGTCCACTGCGTCCGGCTCGGTGGGATTATCCTGGTTTTCGCGCCTGACAGGGTCGGCTCGGGTTGCGACTCTGGTGTTGCCGGTTGGTGTCGCGAACGTGAGTCTCGTTGGGTTGATGCCAGGCAAGTCCCTCCGAGCTCGTGGTGGCCGAGTTTGGAAACGTGTGGTTTTTTGTTGCCCGCGTGTCGCGATTTCGTCGACTCGCTGCGCCAAGGTTTGGTTGGCTTTCTCTTGGTCGTCAGTTTTCTTCTGGAATTTAACCATCAGATCTTTCAGTTCGGCTAGAGTCGCTAGGATCGTCGGATCGGCGGCTTGAGGATTCTGAGGGTTCGGAGGGTTCGGAATTCCTCCTCCAGCTGGTGGTGTCTGACGACTGTCTTCGCTCATCGTCCTTTTCAGTAATCGAGTTCTGCGTCTCAGGGTAAGAGAATTCTAAAGTATCCCCACAGACGGCGCCAAACTGTGGAAGTCGAAACTAACACAATCGAGATTTGTCTAGGGTTTTATTTTAGGGATACGATTTGCGAGAATCCTCAAAGAACAACAGAAACGATTGATACCAAAGATGGTGTTCTTGATATTATTAATGAAAAGACGATTTTGATCGTACAAGAGTTTGATCATAAAAGAAAAAGTGTTTGTGCTGTGAGAGCTTTGCGTAATGTAATTTCTAGAGCGATCTTGCCTCCCCTTTTGCTTGAGCCTTGAGTCTCTTTATATAGGGATGATAAACCGCCTCTCCAGCGATATTCTCGGAAGATTTCCATTTATCTTGAAGTCGGCCAGAATATCGCGGATTAGGACAATTTCCTTATTCTTCGGAGTTTTCCGGAAAATTTCCTGATTTGAGTTGATCCTTCGCGATTCTTCCTTATCATTTCCGAGTTTATCGGAAATGATCCTTCTTTTTCGGAAATGATAACTTGCTTGGAAATGATAACTTTAGAGGAGAATATTTACTAAGTCTTTGCTTCGGGCGATGACGAAGACTTCGCCTCGGAGAACTTGTGCAACCGGCTCGGGGACAAGAGAGGCGTGACCTAGGCTCCCGAGGGAAGGCGGCTCGGGTTCACAGAAAGATCCAGCTCGGGGGGTCTCGACACAAAACGGCTCGGTTTCACGAAGTGAACCGGCTCGGTCACTTGAGGGGAGCCGGCTCGGGTTCACAAGCCTGCTGACAGATCCCGAGCAGACTATGGGTGTTCCCCGAGGTGATCGATGCGATGACCCGAGGCGAGTGGCAATCTGACCCGAGGTGAATGACAGTCCGACCCGAGGTGAATGGCAGTTTGTCCCGAGGCGAATGACAGTTTCCACCGAGGTGTCTTCAGAAGTTCCCTGAGGCGTTCGAAGTTCGGCTCGGTGCTATGGGATGAAATCCGACCCCAACAGTTCGTTACGTCGATTCTGGTAAGCTGTTAAAATTGATGTTTAAGAGTGTTGTCGTACAAAGTGTTAGAGTCTCTTTTAGGGTTTTGTTGCTCGAAATTGTTGCGTGATTGTTCGATTTTTAATTAAAAACTAATCCTAGGGTTTTAATTCTTTTCGTGTTCTGGTAGCTTGATCGCAGAGAACAATGGGGAAAGAAGTTGATAAGAAGTTCACTTGGTTGATTAAGAATTTCTGCTCTCAGCAATCCACAAAAATTTACTCTGATGAATTTGTCGTCGACGGCTGCAAATGGTAAGAAGTGAACTTGTTCTCTAATGATTTCATCCTTTTAGTTCTTTTTTTTTTCTTCGTGAAATTGAGGATTGACTAAATTTTCTTGAAGGCGTCTTCTGGCCTTTCCTAAAGGAAATGGTGTTAAGCATTTGTCACTGTATCTGGACGTTCCTGGTAGTCAATTTTTACCTGATGGATGGAGAAGACACGCAGATTTTCACTTAAGTGTAGTGAATCAACACTCTGAAGAACTCTCTCTAACCAAAGGTGATTGCAACAGTTCTTGTCTCAAAATTCTTATATGTTGTTTTAGTTGGGTTGGTTTAAGACTAGTGACAAAGTTCATTCATGGCTTTATTTGAGGTGAAGTCAATGACTAAATGGAATTTATTTCGTTGTTGTACAGCAACACAACAATGGTTTGATGCCACTGCTTGCGACTGGGGTTTTACATCAATGTTTCCCCTTAACAAACTTCATGATAAAGATGGTGGATTCCTGGTTAACGGAGAGCTCAAGATTGTTGCCGAGGTATCTGTTCTTGAAGTTATTGGAAAATTAGACGTACCAGCGGAATGTGAAGAGACAACCAAAGTTCTAAGAAATGTAGAGGAAAATGATGGTGCAGAGTCTTCTAATGATTCACTCAAGGAAGCTTCATCAGTAAAAGAAAGCATAGATGTCAACGGCTTTCGAGTTCTTCCTTCACAGGTATGAAATCAAGAATTGTGTAATTGTTTCTTAAAAATTCTAATCTCTATAGACATGTCTTCTATTTATGCTTCTCTGTTTTGTGAATTGTTTCTAAAGTAGTAGGAGCACACTTGTAAATTTTTTCTACTTAATTCATCTACTTATCACTTTCAGGTGGAAACTGTGAGCTTTATATTTGAAAGACACCCCGACATTGCGTCAGAGTTCCGTCCAAGGAATCAGCATCTGAGGTCAGCTTACATGAATGTCCTCCTCAGCCTAATTGAGACGCTGTGCCAGTCGACTCAGGAACTTTCCAAGGATGATCTGGCAGACGCAGACGCTGCTCTTGCATACTTGACAGACGCAGGGTTGAATCTGAATTGGTTGGAAGAGAAACTCGAAGAAGTATCAGAAAAGAAGGAGAACGAGGAAGCTGGTGAGACTCGGGTGCAAGAAATAGAGGAAGAGTTGAAGGAATTGAAGCTGAAGTGCTCAAACCTGGAAGCTGAGCTGGAGAAGGAGAAAGCAAATGTGTCTGTGGCCAGAGCTCCTTTCTCGTTCGATGATGTTGTTTAATGGCTTCAGTATTCAGATTCCTTCTTATAGTCCTGTTCGGTGTTTTTAGTCGTCTTGAAACTCTGGAAGATAAGTGGCTTAGGTTGGATGTTTCCGCATTTTGTGGTTCTTGACTCGTTAGGTTTCTTTAATCCGATCCATTGTCTTTCTTATAAGTAAGTATTGTGGTTCTAGACTACTACTAGTCAGATTTTGGTTGTTTCGTTTAGGTGTGTTTCTTTTGCGTATAGTTGATATACCAAGTTGTGGCTACAAACCCCGATATATTATTACTGTGAAGGATTAACAAAACTCAAGAACTTTGGTTCAAAATCTTCTTGATTCATCTGCCCTGACTCCTGAGGAATCGCCAAACGTACACGTATGGAGTTTCAGTATTTCTAAATAAGTTAAATCTAATCGAATATACGCATATCTAAATATATGTAATTACCATTACCAAATCGTTGGAGTTAAAGTATCAAAATATATAAGGACGAGACCTAGACAAGTCACCGTTAAGTGTTAACATTTAGATTTTCGACGCGACGCGATTCTTTTGTGAGGTATTGGAAATTTTCAAGGCTTTGATTCCTAGTTGATATTTCTCGAGATTGTTGTTGTTTGATTGTTTCGATTTATAGATTTGGGTATATACAACTCCAACTTTGGTTCTAGGGTTGCACGTTCTCTTAACATCTGGTAATTCGATTGCCAGGACTCATCATCAAGATCAATGACGAAACAATTGCAAGTTGATGAGAAATTCACTTGGGTGATTAAGAACTTCGATTCATTGGAATCTGATTATCTACATTCTGATCAGTTCGTGGTTGGTGGCTGCAAATGGTACGAAGACGAACTTGTCTTCTAATATTTTAAGGCCATTTTTAGTTTTACGTACGTTTAGGTTTACGGGATATTCTCCTATGTTTTTTCTGATTGTTTTCTTTGGTTTTTTGCTTGCCGGCGTCTTCTGGCTTATCCCAAGGGAAATAACAGCCCTAATAATTTTTCTTTGTATCTAAAGGTTTCTGATTATGAATCATTACCTTGTGGATGGAGCAGACACGTACAAGTTTGGTTTACTATCGTAAATCAAATTCTGCCTAAAGTCTCATACATGCGAGGTTTATATTTCTATGCACGCTTAATAAGTAAATGCATTTCTAGTTAAAATTTTATGATTCATACATGTTCGTGGGACTTTTGGCTGCTACGTGATTCTAGTTATGTATTGGGCAAGAAAACTGTGTTTGATCAGTTATATGTTTCGTGACTTTACAGAAGTACAACACCGGCTTGATTCGAGCTGTATCTACTGGGGTCTCCCAGCAATGTTTCCTCTTACCGCTCTTAAGGCCCTAAATAGTGGGTTTTTGGTGAACGGAGAATTAAAGATTGTTGCCGATGTTAAAGTTGTTGAAGTTATTGGCAATTCAGATGTAGCAAAAAGTCCTCTGAAAAGGAAAAAGCTCAATGATGCGGAAACCTTGTCAGTCAATGGAGTTCAAGTTCTTCCTTCACAGGTCAGAAACTTGGAGAAGAAAAAAATGATGTATATATATATATATATCACTCGCTGATTTTGGGAAAGAAATTTTGTTTTCTGACTTCTTAGTAGAAACACTTCTAAAAGTACAGAGATATTGAAAGTAATACATCTATACTTTATTTATTTTCTTTTCTACATCCAGGTGGAATATGTGAGCCGTATTTTTGAAAAACATCCAGACATTTATTGAAGTTAAACTTGATTTTGGTTTAAGCTTAATTATGGGTTTATAATTCAATATTCTATATTGGATAAAACCCAAAGTTAAGCCTAAGTTCTAGATTTCTCTAGAGCATCATAGAAAAATCATCACCTCCTTAAATGTTCTAGAGAATTCTATTAGATAGATATTTAGAAAATTATGTAGAATAATCTAGAAGTTTGTAAGATAAAATCTAGATATTTTAGTAGAGTTATAGAGATGATGGTAGAATAATCTAGAGACTTTGTAAGCTAACCTTGGAGGCTATAAATACCTCCTCACCCCCCTCATTTGTAATGAAGTTGAACAAGTGAATAAAAAGAAAGTTCAAATAAAAGAACACTCTTTAAAAGTTCTCTAAGTCTCTCCAAAAGTCTTTCAAGTAGTCTCTAATTGTTCTTCCAAATTTTCTATCATACTTAGAGGGTTTCTTATCTTGATTATATCGAGTTTCTCGGGTATTACGGTCTTGGGCTAGTGCTAAGCACTATCGAGTCGGGTTCTTTACATGGTATCAGAGCCATTCTAATATTGTGCTCTTCAAGATCGGGATTATAGGAGAACTCGGATCTACTCTAAGTATGGAATCTATGGGTCGTGTTGTTGGATTGGGAATGGAGATCTTAAACCAATCTAACTACCGGTTATGGAAGTCATGTATGGAGTCATACTTGGTTAGTGAGGACTTATGGGATGTCGTCGGCGGAAGTAATACTTCACCACCTACCGGAGATGCTGCAACCGCGGAAGCGACAAAGGAGTGGACACGTAAAAATGCCAAGGCGGAGTTTGCTTTAAAGAGGTCAATATCCTCAGGAGTATTTGAGCATGTCTCAAGGTGCACATCCGCTAGTTCAATTTGGCAAGCGTTAGATCGACTGTTCAACAAGAAGAATGAAGCTCGTCTACAATTGTTAGAAAACGAGTTGGCAAATGCGAAGCAGGGGGAGTCTTCAATCTCGGAGTTTTTCATCAAGGTAAAGAACCTTTGCTCTGAGATAAATAGTCTTAATCCGGAGGAATCAATCTCGGATGCTCGGTTGAAGCGGTTTATTATTCGAGGTCTACGACCCGAGTATACACCGTTTGTGACTTCGGTTCAAGGATGGGCTACACAACCTTCCTTGGAAGAGTTTGAAAATTTGCTCGCTTCGCAAGAATCACTAGCAGTACAAATGGCGGGAGTCAAAATTCATGATGACTCGGGGAGCGCCTTTGTAGCTAGGAGGCAACACAACTTCAAAGCCAAATCTAATGACGGTGGTCCAAGAAATAATGATGGACATGAAGGATCTTCTAAGGGAGATAAGAAAAAATTCAAGTGCTATCGGTGTGGAAAACTTGGGCATTTTAAAAAGGATTGCCGAGTCAAGCTTAAGGAAACAAACATGGCGGAATCAAAAGGTCATAATGAAGACGAAGAATGGGGAAAATGTTTTACGGTGGAGGCTGCATCTTCAAGTACATCTACACCTAAGAAAGTGGAAAATAATTGGATCGTAGATTCTGGTTGTAGCCATCATATCACTGGAGACGAGAAATTATTTTCTAGTCTTCAACGCCATGAAGGAAAAGAAGCAATCATTACCGCGGATAATTCAATCCATCACGTTGAGAAGGAAGGAACGGTGGTCATCAAAGGAGATGATGGAAGCCCAATCACTCTTAAGAACGTTTACCATGTTCCTGGAGTAAAAAAGAATCTTCTCTCCGTGGTAAATGCGGTGGACTCAGGTAACTATGTCTTATTTGGCCCAAGAGATGTTAAATTCTTAAAGAATATTCAAGAGTTAAAGGCGGATGTGGTTCACACTGGAGCACGAGTTAAAGATCTGTACGTTTTATCGGCGTCAAACTCTTATGTGGAGAAGATGAGTACCAACGATAATGCTTTTATATGGCATGCTAGGCTTGGTCATATAAATATGACTAAGCTCAAGGTTATGGTAAATAAAGACTTGGTTAACGGGCTCCCAAAGTTGAAGATCCAAGATGAAGGCACACTTTGTGAAGGATGTCAATATGGAAAGTCTCATAGACTTCCATTTGACTATTCCACTTCAAGGTGCAGTGTTCCGTTGGAAAGGGTCCATAGTGACTTGATGGGTCCGACAAGAACACCCTCATATTCCGGGTATCGCTACATGTTGTTGTTCGTTGATGACTTCTCACGGTACACTTGGGTATACTTTGTGAAGGAAAAATCTGAAGTATTCTCCAAGTTTCTAGAATTCAAGGTTACCGTGGAAGGGGAGTTAGGTCAGAAGATCAAGACCTTAAGGACGGATAATGGAGGGGAGTTCATGTCTAAGGAGTTTCTCTCTTTTTGTAGAGATAATGGTATCAAGAGAGAATTTACATGTCCGCATACACCTCAACAAAATGGAGTAGCAGAGAGGAAGATCAGACATCTAAGTGAGACGTGTAGAAGTTGGCTCCATGGCAAAGATTTGCCTAAGGAGTTATGGGCGGAGGGAATGAGATGTGCAACCTATGTCATCAACCGGATGCCACTTAGTCCAAACAATATGAAGTCTCCTTATGAGATGGTTCATGGGAAGAAGCCAACGGTGAAACATCTCAGAATATTTGGATCAGTCTGCTACGTCCATGTGTTTGATTCACAAAGAACTAAGTTGGAGGCAAAGGCGAAGAAATGCATATTTGTCGGCTATGATGAACAAAGGAAGGGTTGGAGGTGTATGGATCCTGAGACACACAAGTATGTTGTGTCTCGTGATGTTGTCTTTGATGAAGTTTCTTCATACTACGGGCCACCTCAAGTCTTGGTTGAAAAAGATGGTGCGAGTTCCTCCAAGATCGATGAATCAATTCTCCAAGTACCATGTGAGAGTGGAAGTCCTGGAAATAAAATTCAAGGTCAAAGGGGGAGCACTAACCAAGAAGAAGAGGAACAAGATCATGGTTCGATGGTCAATCAACGGCCGAAAAGAAACATTGTCAAGCCTGCAAGATATAGAGATGAAGAATTCATCACTACTTATTCATGCTTCTTCGCAGCTCCGTTAGATGATGATGAGCCATCTTCTTATGATGAAGCTAAAGGAGTCCAAGAATGGGAAGCTGCAATGAAGGAGGAGATGAGTGCTCTCAAGAAAAATGAAACTTGGGATCTGGTTCCAAAACCCAAGGATGTTGAGCCCGTTTCTTGCAAATGGGTGTATCGAATTAAGCGAAAAGCAGATGGGAGCATTGATAGATTTAAAGCAAGGTTGGTTGCTCGGGGATTCTCTCAAAAGTATGGAGAAGATTATGATGAGACATTCAGTCCAGTGGCGAAGATGACTACGGTACGCTCACTTTTATCCTTAGCAGCATGTTTTGGTTGGAAGTTATGGCAACTTGATGTGAAGAATGCCTTTCTATATGGTGAGCTTGATAAAAGTATCTTCATGGAGCAACCACCTGGTTTCAAATCACGAGAGCATCCTGATCATGTGTGCAAGCTGAAAAAGGCCTTGTACGGATTAAAACAAGCTCCACGAGCTTGGTATGGAAAGGTTGCTCAGTTCCTTCAATTTTGCGGCTATGAGGCATCAAATTCTGACCCGAGTCTATTCTTCAAGAAGAAAGGAGGAGTCCACGTAGTAGTTCTTCTTTACGTGGATGATATGATAATTACTGGGAATGATGATGCAGAAATTGCTCGCTTACAAGAAGATATGTCGATAAGGTTCGAGATGAAGAAGTTGGGTGAGCTGAATAACTTTCTTGGCCTAGAGGTTGAAAGAGTAAAGGATGGAATATTCGTTGGTCAACAAGGTTATGCAAGAAGGATTGTTGAGAAGTTCGGGGTGCACGAAGGAAAGACGCGCACTACTCCGATGGATGTGAACATCAAGCTCAAACGTGATGAAGGTTCATTGTTACCTGATCCTCGACCTTATCGTGCTCTTGTGGGAAGTCTTCTATACTTAACCATTACAAGACCTGATATTGCCTTCGCAGTAGGTCTTATAAGTCGGTTTATGCAAGCACCAAGGAAACCACACTTAGAAGCGGCAAAGAAGATCTTGAAGTATGTCAAGACAACTCTTGACATGGGCTTGGTGTACAAGTACAATGCAAAGATTTCTCTTCATGGTTTTACAGATGCTGACTTTGGTGGAGATCTAGATGACCGAAAATCAACTTCGGGCTATGTGTTCTTATGTGGAGACACAAGCATTTCGTGGTGTAGCAAGAAACAACCAACGGTATCGCTATCTACCACTGAAGCGGAGTATAAAGCTTCCACACTCGCTGCTCAAGAGTGTATATGGCTTCGAAGACTGTTTGAAGATTTGTTCGAGCCCATAAATAAACCGGTGGCTATCTACGGAGATAATCAAAGTGCTATCAAGTTAGCTAACAATCCGGTGTTTCATGCAAGGACAAAACATATTGAGTTAGAACATCACTTCATAAGGGAGAAGGTTCTTGATGGAACAATTGAAGCCTTGGAAGTTCGAAGTGAGGACAACGTTGCAGACATCTTCACCAAGTCATTACCAAAAGGCCAATTCGAGTTACTTCGCTTGAAGCTCGGGATGGTTGACAAAATCAAGTTTAAGGGGGAGTATTGAAGTTAAACTTGATTTTGGTTTAAGCTTAATTATGGGTTTATAATTCAATATTCTATATTGGATAAAACCCAAAGTTAAGCCTAAGTTCTAGATTTCTCTAGAGCATCATAGAAAAATCATCACCTCCTTAAATGTTCTAGAGAATTCTATTAGATAGATATTTAGAAAATTATGTAGAATAATCTAGAAGTTTGTAAGATAAAATCTAGATATTTTAGTAGAGTTATAGAGATGATGGTAGAATAATCTAGAGACTTTGTAAGCTAACCTTGGAGGCTATAAATACCTCCTCACCCCCCTCATTTGTAATGAAGTTGAACAAGTGAATAAAAAGAAAGTTCAAATAAAAGAACACTCTTTAAAAGTTCTCTAAGTCTCTCCAAAAGTCTTTCAAGTAGTCTC